GAACCCGAGACTCTTAGCCCTGTGGCACAATCAGGGTAAAACCACAATGCAGAGGAGCGTCGAAGAACAAGGAGCTCCGAAAGGCCTTTCTCCCTGCTCTCTGCTCCCACGGTGCCTTTTTATCTGAGGCTCTGTCTCCCAGCAAGACGCACTACACAGTCCCTGGCGCCTCATGTGAGCAATTACTGTCAGTGTTGCTCGGGCATCGCTAATAAGCTACAGAGTCTCATGAAACCATAACTCCCCAACTCACAAGCCTCTCTCTCTCATCCCAGAGCCAGAGCAGGTGTGTACAAGCAGCATCTGCCCCGAGTGTCACCCCAGCTCTCCCTCCTCTCCTGTGTGGAACAAATGTCCATCGTGTTGGATGAGGGAAAGAGAACAGGCAGGTCTCGATTTCCTGACTATGCACACCTGCAGAGTGAGGCCAGACTGCCACAAGAACACCTTATGCAACAGAGAGACATAACCTCTTAACACAGGCACTGGAAGAAACACCCTTAAAATCCACTCATGTGTAACTGGGAAAATTCCCCCTTTAGTGGAATCTGTGTGACTGACTGCAGAGTCACAGAGAAGACCCTGCCTGACACCAGGAAGAGAAAAGGCCCCAGAATACGGTGATATCCCAGCCCCAAACAGCGACTGACCCGGGACAGGGGGAACCCACCCCTCTGCTTGTAGAGACTGTCCATGACATAACACACAGTACTTAACACTTCACAAACTCACAGACTGGAAGAGCAGGTACCATCAGGCCTGCGACCCCCAGGAGGCAAGTCCTTACACAAGCAGCTGGGGATGTGGGACAGATCCATCCGAAAAGTAATACAACTGGGGATCGTGTCCAGCTGGATCTGTCAGAGCAGATTCCCTGGGATCCTCCACAGGGAGGCTGCAGTCCTTAAGCTACTGAACCTCCTCGCTGCAGCTCATTCACACCCAAGGGCAAGGTGACAGAGGGTTTTCACTTAACACCGGGTGCAACGCAGAAAAACACCAAGGGAGAAATTCAAGTTTCAGACCCTTGGGAAAACCTGCTTCCAAACGCAGGGGCAGAAATACTACAGATCTGGCTTGAGTCAAGAAAGAGCTAGAGGAGATCATGGGATCAATGGACTACAAAAACTAAACCAGCCATAAGGACCAAATGGCTCACATGTAATTCATGTTCTTAAAAAAACTTTAAGGCTGAGAAGCATGCAGTTGCACATCAGATCAGCAGGGAAGCAGTCTGGCTGCTCGGCCCCCTAGTGGCCACATAGCGAACTGGCCCCACCACCAAGCTGCTCCAGCCCGGGCCTGTCGGCCGGCGGACAGGCAGGAAGAGCAGGTTCTGGTCATTTCCAGACCCGGCTGCCTGCCTTCCCCCCTCAACTCGCTGAAGCACCGAGGCCGTGGCGCCCCCTTGGGGACATGACAACGACCCCCGTTCCCCAGAAGACCTCGGTAAACGTAAAAAAAAGCTGCAGAGGAGTGACCCTTCCGGGTTAATTCCGGGCTACAGATGTTGCCTCCACAGAGCCCCTCCGACCAAGGTGGACCTGGACTTCCTACCCCCCCCCACCCCCTCCCGCCCAGGACCCCCTTAAACATCACCTAATGACTGAACTTGAACTTCTCCCACAGTCCTCCACACAGACTGACGTATCCCGGCCCTCAGCAGAAGGCAGAGCGAGTGCTGTCTGCGATCCCGAACAGGCAGAAAAAAGGGGGCTCCCTCTTCTCCTGCCAGGGAGTCAGACCCTCCCCCAGGCGACTTCCTCTGGCAGAGGGTGAGGAGGTTTCTGCAGGCAAGCAGCCCGCTCGGGCCCTGACTGCCCGAGGCCCGATCGCAGGGTCAGGACACTCGCTCTCTCAGCGCCAGGCCGCACCCTGGGAAAGACTCCCCCTGGAAGACATTTGGAACCTGACGGAAAACCGAAGGAGAAGGCAGGAAAAAAAAGAAAAACACACAACAAGCTCTCTCCCCATCGCACTCGCACCCGTCTCCAGTCCGCCCACCCCAGCAGGTCTTCCCAGGTTCAGGTTTACCTCGTGTGTATAATGGCCTCTCGCACACTTACCACGCCATCGGTTCGCACCTTGATTTAACACGGTGTGCTTCTCTTTACTGCAATACTGCTGTGCTTCGATGCTCTTTGCCACCTTTAAAAGTCTGGACCACACTGGATTCGTGGAATAATTGGCATCTGTGCATTTCAACCTGTCTTCCAGCCAGCCAGCCTTGCTGGGGAAGACGGCGAGAAGTCTTCCCCCAGGGCTGTCAGGAATACGGCTGCCCATCCACTTGGTCTCCTCTGCCGCTGGTACCCACTCTCAGAACAGAAAACAAGCATCATGCTTCCTCAGC